GAAGGTGTTCCGTGGAGCGCTTGTGGTGCTGAAAGGCGAAAAGATAGCAGCAAACTTGTACATGCTAAAAGGAGAAACTTTGCTAGAAGCAGAAGCCTCTGTTGCCTCATGTAGTTCAGATTCTGCAATGCTATGGCATCAGAAACTTGGACACATGTCAGAACAAGGAATGAAAGTCCTTGTGGAGCAAAAGCTACTTCCCGGCTTAACAAAGGTAACACTTCCTTTGTGTGAGCATTGTATAACAAGTAAGCAGCACCGGTTAAAATTCAACACATCAAATTCTAGAGGCAAAAGTGTTCTAGAATTGGTTCACTCTGACGTATGGCAAGCACCAGTTACATCCCTAGGCGGAGCAAAGTACTTTGTCTCATTTATTGATGACTACTCCTGGCGATGTTGGGTGTACCCTATTAAGAAGAAGTCAGATGTGTTTTCCACTTTCAAAAACTTCAAAGCGCGGGTGGAACTTGATTCTGGAAATAAGATCAAGTGTTTCATAACAGATAATGGAGGAGAATACACAAGCGAAGAATTTGATGACTTTTACAAGAAAGAAGGCATCAAAAGACAGTTCACAGTGGCGAACACTCCTCAACAAAATGGAGTGGCAGAACGGATGAACATAACCTTGTTAGAAAGAACAAGAGCAATGTTGAGAGATGCAGGCCTAGAAAAATCATTCTAGGCAGAAGCAGTCAATGCCGCCTGTTATTTGGTGAATCGAGCTCCATCAACTGCAATAGAGATGAAGACACCAATGGAGATGTGGACTGGTAAACCAGCTGATTATTCAAACCTCCATGTATTTGGAAGTATTGTGTACGTGATGTACAACCCCCAAGAAATTTCAAAGCTAGATCCAAAATCCAGGAAATGCAAATTCTTGGGGTATGCTGATGGTGTAAAGGGGTATCGCTTGTGGGATCCCACTGCCAGCAAAGTGATCATTAGCAGGGATGTTATCTTTGTAGAAGATAAGCTACAAAGAAAAGAAGACGATGATAGCGCTGAAAAGTCAGAGACTACACATATACATGTGGAAAAGGAGGTTGAACAAGGAGATTCTTCTGAAGCAGAACCAGCACATGATGAACAAGAACCAGAGTGTTCTGAAACTCCAACAACTCGTCATTCAGATCGTGTGAGAAGACGTCCCAATTGGCACTCAGATTATGTTATAGAAGGTAATATTGAATACTGCCTTTTAATAGAGGATGGTGAGCCATCAACATACCAAGAGGCAATAAACAGCTCAGATGCTTCACTATGGATGATGGCGATGCAAGAGGAAATTGAAGCCCTTCATAAAAATAATACATGAGACCTTGTGCCACTACCACAAGGAAGGAAGCCAATTGGTAACAAATGGGTCTTCAAAATCAAGATAAATGGTGACGATCAAGTGGAGAGGTATCGTGCAAGACTAGTGGTCAAAGGATATGCTCAGAAAGAAGGTATTGATTTCAATGAAATATTTTCTCCTGTGGTTCGACTAACAACAGTTCGAGTAGTTTTGGCAATGTGTGCTACATTGAACTTACATCTAGAGCAGCTAGATGTTAAAACAACTTTTCTTCATGGAAATCTTGAAGAAGAGATTTATATGCTCCAGCCTGAAGGTTTTGAAGAAGAAGAAAAGAAGAACTTGGTTTGCAGGTTAAACAAATCTCTGTACGGTCTAAAGCAGGCACCGAGGTGTTGGTATAAGAGATTTGATTCCTTCATAATGTGCCTTGGATACAACAGACTTAATGCAGACCCTTGCGCTTATTTCAAGAGGTATGATGATAATGATTTTGTTATATTTTTGTTGTATGTGGATGACATGTTGGTTGCAGGACCCAACAAAGATCATATTGAAGAATTAAAGGCACAACTGGCTAGGGAATTTGAAATGAAGGACTTGGGATCAGCAAACAAGATTCTAGGGATGCAAATTCACCGAGACAGAAGTAATAGGAAGATTTGGCTTTCACAAAAGAATTACTTGAAGAAGATCTTGTCACGATTCAGCATGCAAGACTGTAAGCCAATTTCTACCCCTCTTCCTATTAACTTCAAATTATCCTCTAGTATGAGTCCTAGCAGAGAAAAAGAGAGGATGGAGATGTCTCGAGTACCGTATGCATCAGCAGTGGGAAGTTTAATGTTCGCTATGATATGCACAAGACCAGACATTGCACAAGCAGTGGGAGTGGTTAGTCGATACATGGCGAATCCAGGCAAAGAGCATTGGAATACAGTAAAGAGGATCCTGAGATACATCAAAGGGACCTCAAATGTTGCATTATGTTACGGAGGATCAAACTTAGTAATAAATGGTTATGTAGATTCTGACTATGCAGGGGATTTGGATAAAAGCAAATCTACAACAGGATATGTGTTCAAAATTGTTGGTGGAGCTGTAAGCTGGGTTTCAAAATTACAGTCAGTTGTGGCTACATCCACAACAGAGGCAGAATATGTAGCAGCTACACAAGCCAGTAAAGAAGCAATTTGGTTGAAGATGCTATTGGAGGAGCTTGGGCACAATCAAGAGTATGTCTCTCTGTTTTGTGACAGTCAAAGCGCCTTGCATTTAGCAAGGAATCCAGCATTTCATTCAAGGACAAAGCACATACGAGTTCAATACCATTTCATTCGTGAAAAGGTGGAAGAAGGGACAGTAGATATACAGAAGATCCATACCAAAGACAACATAGCAGATTTCATGACGAAGGCGATCAATGCAGACAAATTTACTTGGTGTCGATCCTCTTGTGGCCTATCAGAGACGTAAGCAACATGAAGGTACAAGGTAGAAAGAATGATGTGAAGATATCATTGTTCCAATCAAATCTTCAAGTGGGAGATTGTTGAAAAATCAAATAGCAGCCGGCTGCTTTAGGCTGCTTTTATTTATTTTTTAATTATTATTTTTGTTGAATTATGCAAGGGATAATTACAACATTTAGTCACTAAAATTTAGGGTATTTACAAGATTAAGTCCTTAAGATTTAGCTATAAATACCCTATCCCATTTAGCTTCAAAACCATCCCAAAGCATTCTAGCTTTCTTCCAATACTAGAGAGAATTTAGAGAGTTTCGAGTTTCTTGAGAGTTGTTTTTCTCCTTTTTATCAAGAGAGAATTATCATTGTTTTCTCCTTGGTCGATAGAGAGAAGTTGTAATTCCTATTTTCTCATAGTGAAATTCTTCTACCGTTGCCCGTGGTTTTTACCCTAAATTTTTAAAGGTTTTCCACGTAAATTTTGTGTCTCTTTTATCTTCATTTTTATTTTCTCAAATTATCAGTTGCGATTTTGCTCTATCCGATAGCCGTCTTCCGTAACACTAATAATAACAAGGAATCCAAATTCGCAAAAATATAAATAAGAACAAAAGCCACCTGGAAGTGACAACGAGGCTCAAGAGCAGAAGGGTCATGAACCATCTGCAAAATGAGAGGCCTCCGAGTGCCCATCTCGACCTCACGTACATTGAAGCGAAACCCCAGCAAAGCTTCAAGGAGAGAGCTTTTTCCATCAGATTACCCACCGAGCGCCACGATCTCCGGGATCGGAAGCTTCTCACCAAAGGCCACCGCAGCAGCTTGGAGGCGGTTGTAGGCCTCGAAACGGGACAGAGACGAAGAAGTGGAGGAAGCGTCACGTGTTTGGTGAAGATGAGAGTGAGATCTTTTGGATTTTCCCGATGGGTTTTTTGTCGGAGTCGGCGTCGCCATCACCGTTGAGGAGAGAAAGGAGGAAAGTGAGGCTATTGAATTTTTGAATTTGAATTTTCGAGGGAAATAAATACTTTGGAAGGTTGTTTGAGTCGGGGAGGTATATATGGGCTTGGTGTGGTACCAATTGGGTTTATTTTTATTCTTTAAATTTGATTTATTATTTAAATAATAAAAACTTTTTCTTCAAAAATATTTTTCACCACACTGTAAGTGTCATGTGTTTTTTTTATTGTATTTGATTTGTTAAAAATATTTATTAATTCTTTATTTAAAAATAAATATATCAAATTTAAATCGATATTTAATATTAAAATTGACAATAAGATAAAAGGGTCTAATTGAAATAATATATCAATTAATTTGGATATATTTGAAACAATTTAAAATTTGACCCATAGCTTGAGGATGTCTATTTAATTAAACCTATTAAAAATAATGAGTGTTTTATTAAACAGGCTTAATTGAAAAATAGGTATAAAAACTACATCTTTTATTTATTTTAGATGTTTAATCTTTTGTCAAATCAATTTAAATTTAAGGATGTCTACTATAATTAGCCATTTTAAATGATTATGAACATTTTATGGAAAAGTGATGAGATCACATAAACTTGCTTTTCGACCATTAATTTTAATTTGAAATTTTCAAGCAATTAAAGATTCTTTCTTTTTCAAGGATAAAGATAATCTTTACAATTCCTTATCTTTTCAATGGCTAAGATAGAACCAAAAACCCTTTACAAGAAAAAAAAATGTAAACAAGAAAAATCTCTAGAAAAGAAGGTGTTTACAAGAATTAAGCTCACAAAAACAAAATATTTACAAGAGAAATTAAAATAAGATTGAAAAACTATTCTCTTGTGTTTGATTGCTTGGATAAGTATTCTGACACTTCTTCAAGTTTTTTGAATTTGTATTTATGTGTTAGAATGTTGTTGTGGTCGTTTCTAACTGTTGGAGTTTGTTTGGAGTCGTTGGGATCAATTTTCGTGCAAAATAAATTGCCCAGATCAAGAAGTATCGTACTCCTAAAGAGAATATCGGTACTTCCTTTGTTAATATTTAAATCAACTAACCGTTAAAGGAGTATTCATACTTCCTTTGTTAATATTTCAAGGGGACCCATTTGCACTCAGTTGAATAAGTCTTTAATTTTTTTTTTCTATTGAAAGAATCCAGAAGTCAATTTTTGAGCTTTGGAAAATAAGGATGAAAAAGTGCTTTCTTTTGGTGAAACAGAAGATAAACAAATCCATACAAATTTTCTCCTATGGGAAGCAGAGCAAAGCTTTTGCTTCCTCTCCATGTTCTCATCGTTTACTTCGTATCATTTGAAACTTATGTCTCCATTAAAATGGATACAAACGCCATGTATCCAGGCCAATCACTCTCTGGTAACCGAACATTAAGCTCAAGCAATTAAAGGTTTAAATTTGGTTTCTTCAAGTCAGGTAACTCCACAGGCTAGTATGTAGGTGTCTGGTACAGCCTATCAGTTGATATTGTGGTGTGGGTGGCTAACAGAGATGAGCCACTCCTTGATCCTTTCGGTTGGAAACTCGAGCTCACCGAAAAGGGTAGCCTTGTTCTTTACAACCAATCTGCAATCCCAGTTTGGTCGTCATCAAACACCGTGTATGATTTCATTGTTGCTGTTCTTGAGGATTGTGGGAATCTTGTTTTGAGAAATGGTTCGAGTTCGAGCTCTTCGGTCATAGTATGGGAAAGCTTTGATCATCCTACTGATACATGGTTGCCTGGTGCCAAGCTTGGTGGAAGTAAGATGAACAGGAAAGGGCAAAGTCAAAGCTATGTTTCTTGGAGCAGTTCGAATGATCCTTCGCCTGGACCGTTTTCCCTGGTGCTCGATGGAGCTGAGGAGTATCATGTACTAAAAAATGGGCATAGGCACTGGACTTGTAATTGGCTTGAGAGAGTTTCCTCTTTTAGTACTGAAACAGTGGATGACAAGTATACCACCATGGAATATGTTTCGAATAAGGAAGAGAATCTACTCGGTCACCAGCCCCTCGATTCCTGTAAGATTTAAGATTGATGTATCAGGGAAAGTGCAAAAACTTGTATGGAAAAATGATTCTCGGAAATGGGAAACTATTTGGGAAAAACCAAAGGAAGATTGTGAAATCTTTGGTTTCTGTGGAGCAAACGGTGCTTGCAATCAATTTGGTTTGCATCATTGTAGATGCTTGGATGGTTTTGAACCTAAAGTTCCTGGAGAATGGAATTCGGGAAATTATACGAGTGGTTGTCGTAGAAGATATCGGTTGCAGTGCAGTAAAGATGCAAAACATGGCTTTCAAGTGATTCAAAACATATTATTACCGGCAAATGAAGTGTCATTAACAAATGATAAGAGCTTGGAAGAGTGTAAACAGCCTGCTTAAGAGACTGACACGATTGGATATGATGGTAACTGCTCCATATGGCGAGAAGATTTGGTGAACATCCAATACCTGTCATATGGCGACAATCTCGGAAGAGATCTGTATCTCCGGCTTCCGGAAGCTGGCGGAGTTAAAAAGAGGATAAGAATCGAGCGGTTCACTGTTAGTGCAGCTGCAGCAACTGTGATTTGATTGCTATCTTGGGACTCCTAGTTTCAACACGCAGGATGACAAGTTACGCAGATGCTAAACCGACTGATGATCTTGTTATCTTTAAGTTCGGTGATTTAAAGAGTGCGACGAAATTTTTTTCCCGAAAGATTAGGTGAAGGTGGCTTTGGTACTGTTTTTAAAGGAACGCTTCCGAATTCGGATGCCATAGCTGTCAAGAGTCTCAAATGCCAAGACCAAGAAGACAAGCAGTTCCGCGCTGAAGTGAGCACCATAGGGACGATTCATCACGTTAATCTCATGCGCCTTCTTAGGTTTTGCCTGAAGGGGATGAAAAGGTTTCTGGTATATGATTACATGCCAAATGGTTCCTTGGACAGTCATCTGTTTTATAAGGAGTCGGAGATCCTAGACTGGAAAACAAGGCATCATATCGTATTGGGAAAAGCTCGAGGATTAGTCTATCTCCAAGAGGAGTGCAGAGTATGCATCATACACTGTGATATCAAGCCCGAGAACATTCTCTTGACGCCGACTATAATCCTCTGCTTTCAGACTTCGGACTAGCAAAGCTGTTTGGTAGGGATTTCAGTCGTGTTTTGACTTCGATGAAAGAAACAAGAGGGTACCTTGCGCCGGAAATTATTTCAGGTGAGCCCATCACTCCAAAATCTGATGTTTTTAGCTATGGAATGTTGCTTTGGAGATTATATCAGGAAGGAGAAACTGGGAGACAAGAGATGATGAGAACAACAATTACTTCCCGGCTTGCACTGCAATCTGTTTAAGCAACGGAGGAGATGTACTAAGTTTGTTGGATCCCAAGTTGCGGGATGCAAATGCAAAAGAAGTCACCAGAGCATTTTACCATCCATGGCGAAAGTTGTTCAGATCCTTGAAGGAGTCCAACAGATCAATATCCCACCAATTCCCTGGTTTATCCAAACCATCATAAGCTGTTAAAGGGGTTTTCGAGTTGTATTCAACAAATGAGAAGCATTTTACCAGTAGTTCAGTATGAAATGAATATTGCTTTGTATAATGGCATCATGCTTGTTGAGTAATTGTTACTTTATTAAACAAATATGGAAATGCTATAAGAACAGGAATTGTCTATAAAGGATTCTGATGACATTCTCAAATTAATGGAAGACAATTTCAAAAATACAACCAATTAAACCAGAATTACTAAGTTTTGGCTTCAAAAAATATTCAAACTGAACTACCAGCAACATTATGAGTTTTCTTAGGGCATCCTTCGATGGATGCAAAGAACAGAATTAACTAACTTTTGCCGCTATGGACCCAGCTAATAGCAATGTCGATCAACCAAAACTCTCGGTCTCATTCAACTCTGTTAATGTTTCAGACAAGATAATAGTAGTAAATCAATGCCAAAAGTATCAGCACCACCAGCGCAGCAGGAGCAGCCCATGACCAGTAGTTGGTCGACTTCTTACGTCTCAGTATGGCTCTTGGAAGTGCCTCGGGTCCTTTAGTTCGATTTCTGTACCGAAATGTACTCTCCTTTTGCGCCTTGTCCTTCACTGAAACAGGAGCAGGAACAGGTGCATCAGCATTAACATCGACCTTCTCGGATTCTGAAGCCTCAGCCTCGGGTTCAGTTGGTTCCTCGGGATTGACAGCAGTTGAAGATGATGCTGCTGCCTTCTTCCTTGCTTTCTTCTCACGCTCCTGAAAAAAAATAACAATGCAAGATTTCAGTTTTAACCCACACTAATTATCAGAAACAAAACTAGAGAGAGAGAAGCAAATAATTTCCTTGAGCTTCTTTTCAGCCTCCTTTTGAGCTCTTATAGCTGCTTTGGCAGCTGCCTTTTCAGCCATCTTCTTCTTCCTTTCTAAAGCTTGCTTTGCTTTTGCAATTTCCTCTTCTCTCTTCTTCTCTTTCAGTTTTGCAGCATCGGTTTTGGTGCTTGCAGAAGTGTCCTCCGACTTGCCCGATCCAGAAATCTCCTTCTCTGCTACAACATTCTCTGGAGAGGATTTTGACTCCATTACTTTGGTGTCAGCATCTTTCTGGACCTTTTTTTTAGTACCTGGTTGGGGAGAGGACTTGGCTTCTTCCTTTGGTTGTCTCGAACTAGGTCTCAGAATTGTTTCAGTTTGCAAAGGTACCGTACGCCCGGTGTAACCAGTGGTTTCTCATCAGGATTCCTTATCCGGCCATCCCGGCTCAATTGCCGACTGTCCAGGGATGTCAGAATCCGTTTCTCATAATCATCCCTGAAGGCTTTGTCACCGTTCCAGAGAGACATAAACTTCTCAGCCTAAAACCAGTACAGAAGATAAGTGATCAATTGAATACGAAGCATGTGAGATTCTCTAAACAAAGCATTAATCAGCAGTCTCAACAAACCTCAACAGCTGCAAGCTCCTCAAGTGCCTTCATATCTTTCTTGGCAGCTACAAATTTGGCCTTGTTTAGGAGTGAACGGCTCTGGAAAAAGTACACATTCTGAAATTTTGAAAGAAAATAGTAATTAAAACGAGTCCTTAGAAATAGCACACACGATGAAGCTTGAAAGCTAGACTATGCATATTGGCAAAACCAGATAAAAATTTAACTAAATAAATGGTTTACTCAAACGATGCCAATCTTCCATGAAGATCTTCAAACATAAATGAACGTTCAGATATGGTCATGTGTGCATATGAAACATAAATTTTAAAGCTTCAAGCAAAGAAAAGACTACTTCTTCATCGCGTTGTTTCCTCAGTTCCTGAATGGTTTCATATGCTTTGTCCCTCTTCTCAGTCACATCTTTCAGCTCCTCTTGTAAAATGTTGATTCTCTTCTCTATCACATTCAATTTATCTTTAATTTGTTTCTTCTTCGACTGGACTGCGTGCTGCTCCTTCCTTACTCCATTCAAATCACCTCCCATAAGCTACGATAAAACAAATATAGAAAGTTTATTAGTGTAAAACAATGAAGGTCTTATTAATACAGGAGGAAAGTGGGAAAGAAAACTTCAAGAGATGCTAAACAAAAGTTTCGTACCTTAATCTGATCCTGAATAGCTTCTTTCTGACCCATTGAATCCTGAATCTTTGCTCTCATTGCTGCATTAGCGAGGACCATTTCCCTGGTTCCCTCTAGTCGTTTGATTTCTCTAAGAAGTTGCTTCTCCTCAGCCAATGGGATGCTTTCATGCTGAATGCGATATTGCAAGCAATGGATCTGTAGTTCACCAATTCCATTAAGTGATTAAAACAGAATAGGATTAACTGCAGAAAAAAATAATCGACAAATTCTAGAAACAGTTAGGAGTAACATACAACAGCATTGAGCTCTTCCTCGGATGAGCATAGACCACCAAAAGCATAGTTATTGGTGCGAAGCTTGCGTAAAGCCTGCTGCAATGGTTCTATTTCCTTCTTTTTCTCTCCTAAAATCTCCTTAAATTGGTCAAAATCAACATTCAAGGCTCTCACTTGAGAAAGTAACTCTGCTCGATCCGACTGAAGACATAAAGATAATGCTTTAAAAAGTAAGTGAGATTAGGCTAAAACTGGCATCATAATAGTTACTACATGCTCACGGTCGTTAATTTCCATCATTTATTACTAAAAGCACACCCGATCGCATTAAACACAAGTTCGAAAGACTCGTCACAGCAATAATGTCACCTAAACTATAGGAACCAATTAAAAGCCGAATAGGACATGACAAATATATATCTTATATAAGAACAAAAACGAACGGTTAATCATGCCACGCGTCTAATCGAAATTAATAGCTTTTCACTCACCCTCTGAGCTTTTAATTCATCAGTAATCTTGAACCTGGTTCTATTCCACTTTTGTAGCTCTTTATCAGCCTGATCGATTTTGGCTTTTATCTCCGAATCGTCATAAAGGCGATACCTGACAAAATAAAACGAGTGAATCTGTTTAACTGCAGGCCACTCATCAACTGCATCCGTTGGGATGTTAGCATTCGATGCGTTATTCCCGTCTCCCTTATCCAGTTCCTTGGCACCGGAAACAACTTTAATGGTCTCATTATGAACAGTATCCTTGTCCAGTTTCACATTTTCCTTATCAAGCAAAAATGATTTGTCTACTTCAGCTACTTGCGCCATGTTTGATCCCACAATCTCTATATTCATTAATCACGAACAAATTATAAACCTAACAAAGATTACAATACCACATTATATGAACAAAATATAAATATCATTTCATTTATAAAAAAGAACGAGGAGAAAAAAAGATCAATACAAAGCGATTCATTTTACTAAATGGTAACATGACAGATAAATAAACAAAATTTCAAGGATTTACAATAGCATTGGAAATAAAACTATCTAAAGCCATTTCTTTAGGTAGCTTCTTTATTAATCAAATCAAAAGAGTTAGAAAACAGAGGAATTTCAAACAAAATATTCAACATGAGATCTTTAAACCAACATCAAATTGATATATATGCTTGATCTAGTATAATAGAAAAATACAAAGACATGATCCAGATAGAAAAAAAGGACAATCAAATCAATGATAACATGCTATAGCACAAGATCAAACCATTATCTATCAATAAAACTATCATGCTAAATTATATGATATTTTTTTCAAAAAAAGAAAAAGAAAATCCAAAATATTGAATTGTGAATGAGAGAGAAAAATCAACAGAATGACAAACAAAAACCCAGATAGGAAAAAAAAACTTATATGATTACCCATTTGGAGAGATGATCAAGAGAGGAGAAAAAGCCTTTTACAGGAAAGAAAGAGATATAAGAGATTAAGATCTCAGTCTCTCTCTCTGTTTCGGAATTATCTTGTTGTTTACCAGAGAGAGAAATAGGAGAGGGAAGCACAAGAAATATAACAGATTTTAGCTTTATATCAATGCAGAGAGACAGAGAGAGAGAGAGAATGAAGGGGGGAAATGGGTTTTTAAGTGAAACAATTTTTTTTTTTTTTTTAGTTCTAAAAAACAGTGGGCTAACGTTTTTTATGCCAAAGCTGGCAGTTACAAGAGGACTATGGTTTGTTTTGCTGTTTTTGGTATTTTTTTAACTTTATATAATAATTTTAAAATATGTAAATATTATTATATTTTATAAATAAATTTTAAAAATCCAATAGTATAAATTTATATTTATATAAATTGAGTTAAAGTTTACCACTTTAATTTAAAATTCTTTTAAAATTTGTATCATGAAAGAGTGCTGTTTTTTATCAATGTAAATTTATGTTTAACTTGTGGGAGAGAGGATACGAGTCGATGATGATTTATTTATTAGGATTTAGAAAACAAAATTATTGAAGATATTGATAATCAAAAATAAAGATTTAAATTCAATTTCATTCTATTTAATAAGAAGATAAGTAAAGATAAAATTCTTAAATAGATTATTTTCGTTTTTGAGATATGAATAATTTTATATATCATGAGTTTATCAAGATTAACGTTGATGGTGTTTGTCTGCCGCAGTCGGGATCAACGTCCATAGGGGTAATTGCGCGTGACTTTGAGGGACTGGTTATTACTGGTCGTACTCTGTTTTTTTTTTGTCCACGTGATGCTGGTTTAGTTGAAACGTTGGCTACTTGTTGCGGTTTTCGTTTTGCTGTGGAACATGGATACTCACATATGATCATAGAAAGAAATGCAACTAACATCGTTAATCAAGTTCTTAATCCCCATACAGGTTTGTTGGTACTGCAGTCTACGTTAACGGAAGCTCGTCATCTTTTGGATTTCCATCCGGACTATTGCATTCGTTTTATTCGACGTTCTGTAAATGGTGTCGCTTAGGGGAGAGATGTGCATGGGACCGAAATCGATGGGTTTTGAACGGAAACTCGTCATCTTTTGGATTTCCATCCGGAATATTGCATTCGTTTTATTCGACGTTCTGTAAATGGTGTCGCTCAGGACCATCCCTACTCATGGCCTCAATATGCTATCCACCTGAACTCACTCAATATGCTGCAACAACTAATTTGTTTGTTTCATTTAATTATGATTACCCTGATTGTATTGCTGCTAATGTTGTTTCAGACGCTAATTTTGGTAAATGGCTATATGTACTACTTAAAAAATTAATCACTTTCAATTATAAATTGGTATTTAAAAAATAAATTATAAATTATAAAAACAATATAATACGGACGATAACACAAACTCTCAAAAAATTGAAAGATATATATATATATATATATATATATATATATTAATAAGAAATTGAAAGAATATATAATTGGGATAAGTGAGTGATTGGTGGCTTTTTGTCCCCTTGATATCCATAGTATGTTCTCTTATGCATTGGTAGTCCTCGCTTTTGTTTTAACACGTGTTCTTATTTCTCAGATCATCTGACTTACGTCAGCGTCATCGATGATTACGAGAGCCGAGGTTTGAGACTTCAAATTACAAGAGTATCCTTAAACTTGTCCGCGAAACGGACACCCCTTGGAAACCGGTAAAGTTTGTTTATTTGTTTTTAAAGTTCAAACTTACAAATCTCAGTATTATTTATTTCAACATTGCATTTAATTAATACTAATAAATTATGATTCTTTTTAGTTTTTAAACATCCTGAACCCTTATAATTACAATTAAGTATATTTTTCAAAATTAAACCGTAATTCCGTTATATTTGTTAAATAATTAGATAATTAAAACTATTACTCGTATAATTATTAGAATTATAATTACAGATTCATATAATTATGATGTAATGTTCAATCATGTTAAAATATTAATGTGAAAAATGTCAACGGGTGGATTTTGAGGGGATCCATCTTACTCTACATCTAAATGCGGCCTTCTCTTAAGTACATGATTAAGAACCAAAGCTAAAAAAATCCAGTTTTTGGATTCAGGGAATCGAAAATTGAACAAGAAAATGAATAAATAAATTGAATTGGCTTACCTTACAAGTAGAGGGAACAGTCTGATTTCAAAAGTAAAGGACGCTATTATAGAGAAGTACGTATGGGATCTTTATGTGATTTACAAACAGCAAGGGGGAGTAATCGGAATATAGAACAATAAAGGGTTAACTTATCAAAAGTCCTTCATTTCTGAACTGTATCCAAACTAATTCCTAAATTTTAAAGTGTTTCAATTAAACCATTAATTAAAGTATGTTGTGATCATGTTTTTTTATTAGTTTATTCATCAATTTTTACTTTAAATGTCAATTTAAATATGGTGTAAATTTAAAGAGGGGCATAATTTAATTTATTAATACAATTAAAATGTTTTAAATTTAAAGAGTAATTTAAAATTTAAATAATAATTTTGATATATGTGATACTATTAGCATCTAGAAAAAATAAAGTCATTTTAAATAAATTCTTTACATATAAATGAATTTTGATTTTATGTAATCATATTGATTCAATATAAAGGAATGGAAAACTTGACTAATTGTTGATCTAATTATATTGACTCGATATAAAGAAATGAAAAATATGGCTAATCATTGTAAATAATCACAGTCAATTCTTGTAATTCAAAAGAAAAAATTGACGTAAACTATTAAATAAGCTTCTTAGTGATACTGTAAATTGCTGAAACTTTGATCAAACAAATGATGTAAATCTTCAAAGGTAGACTGTAATGGGATCTTCAAACTTTGAATCGAATCTCTAAAGCAAACTTTATGGTGTCACTCCACTTCAAGATGCAATTTTTATTAAGCTATGCATCACTTTGATTGACGCTAAGAGGAGGCTGTAGGTTCTCGTTGACTTCATAGTGCATCACACTATTCTCTGTATCCCCATAGGCATTGAAGATTCACTCTGCAGTTGTGAGCAGACACTGTGAGATATTGTATCCTTCAAAATATACGTGCACCCCTTCTGAACTTAACCACAGGAAGTCAGATATGCTGACTTGACTCCTTACCCTTAGGTTTATTTGATTAATAAGTCGAGTTAGAATTTCAAGATGCTCAAAGGTTGCATTTGTTGGTTGACAGAAGACGATTGGTTGGTAGATGGTCCAAGAAACTTGCAACAAAATATTTCGATAAGACTAATACACCTACGATAGAAAACTTAGGATATACAACTAATATACCAATTCTACGACGTTGATTAGTCTTTTATATGATAAATTCTTAGTGCATAATAATACTTAAGTGGCAGGACTGAGCATATATTATTTAGGTGGCAAATTCTACCATATATCAACGAGATAATATAATCGACTATATATTAATCAGATGGCAGAGCCGACCATTTAATAAAAGTAACTCAAGTGCACTGAGAACTTAAAATAAACCAAGACTTAACTGAGAAGCGAACACTTTTATTAATACAAAATACAATTATAATACGCTTACCTCACTAATGTTAACCATCAGAGCTTGACTCTAGGTAACCAATCATGATATAGTATAATTCCAATAGTATACTATAGCGTTGTAGGAATCCACTTCCTAGAAAGGTGGGTGAAACCTCATAGCTTATCTCTAAGCTCACCAATCATAACACGGTATAATTTCAATAGTATACAACAACATTAATCAAGTTTATAGCTCATACTTCAGCTGCACTATCAAGATTTGCCGAGTAAGATGCCTTCGGGTTATCAAAAGAGCGAATCTCATTTTCCCTTCTACACTAAAAGGAGCTAATTGTAGTTTGAACTAATCATTAGTTGTTTCCATAAGCATATAGTTAATTGGTAAAATGTTACTATTGGACCTTATATTATACATAACTTTTGGATTTAATTTTATATTGTATTTTAGTCAATTTAATCTAAACTTTTTAAAGCTAATCATTGATCTAATTAGGAATGGAAATTATTGCAAACAATTAGTCAATCAAAGAAAAAAAAATCACTCAACTCTATTTCACAATATTCAAAAAAAAATTCACTCACTTCTTCCCTGTTTCACAGTATTAAAAAAATCACTCACTTCTCTGTTTTACAGTGGCACTCCAAAACTTTGTTTATACAAAATGATCGTAAGTTTTCCAAATTTGACAGCAATTGGATTTGTGCAATATACAAGGAAAACATACTGTCTAGCTTTAGCTTTGCAAATTCCACGCTGAATCCAATCTCTGAGCACACTTGATTGTGTCGTTCCACCTCAAAAAACAATTTCCATTCACCTCATACCATGGAAAATAAAGCATCTTTGTGAAAGAGGCCAAGAGTATGATATATATTCTTAGGATCACGTCATGATACATCACACAATGCATCAAAATATTTCGATGAATCTAATGCACCTACTATAGAGAACTTAGGATATTCCACTAATATATCAATTCTATGACGTTGATTAGTCTTTATACGATAAATTCTTAGTGCACAATAATACTTAAGCGGCAGACTGATCATATATCATTTAGGTGGCAAATTCTACCATATATCAACTAGACGATAAATCGACCATATATTAAATAGACGGCAGAGCCGACATATAATAAAAGTAACTCAAGTGCACTAAGAACTTAAAACAAACTAAGAATAAACTAGAAGCGAACACTTTTATTAATACAAAAAACAATTATAATATTACACACCTCACTAGTATTACACACTTACCTCACTAATGTTCTCTTATCTTCCTTTAAGTTCTCTTTATCTAACTCGTTCTTTTGGTATTCATTTTCTCATTTTCACTCTTATTATGATGGTAAAATTCACCCCTATTTATAGATTTTAGTGGCAATTAGATTGTTGACACATATTAATATCTTAGTCATTTAATCTAAAATATTCTCAAGATAATTATAGAGAATTCTAGATATAATATCTTAGTCATTTAATCTAAAATATTTATATTCTTCTAATAGATAATTCTAGATCCGGGACTCTATTGGTCAACAAGACTGAAGTATTTTGGGCCACGAAGAGAAGAAAATTGCCTACAGCATTTAAATTATATACTGGCTAGCATTCTCTCATACACCTGATATTGTTCGATTTGTAAGTTTAGTATTTAAGAATGTGAGGACTGCGATAATATATATATATATATATATATATATATATATATATATGCATTTGCTTTGTGATGTAGATATGGCTGGACCGCATATCATACATGTCTGCAATAATTCACAGTGGCATATTGCAGCACTTCTCATGTGTTACCATCTGTTTTTCTATCTAAAGTGAAATCTTTTAATGCTATGGGGTGTGTCAAAATTTATGAAATATATACATATGTATGTATCTGTGTATACACACCTGTTTAGTGATGTGATGCAGAAATGGATGAACTGTATATTACATTTCATGGAGATAAATAGTTCATATCGACATATTGCAGCTCTTCTCAAATGCTAGAAACTGAAACTTAGAAGCCTAATTTCCACTTTCATGGAGGTGGTAAATTAGTTTTGCTTTTACAAGATCCTTGTCATTGGTTGCAGGTTCGGCATGGACAATCATGTCGCGTCCGTTCATCGAGTATATTATTATGGGATGGGATAATCTACCCAGAATCCTTCTCATGTATTACACAAACTTCATCTCTTCCCCTGAAGGCTACTTCCAGACGGTGGTATGCAATATTCCGGAATTCGCCAAGACTGTCATCAATCATGATATGTATTACATTAAATGGGACAATCCTCCTAAACAGCACCCACATGTACTTTCTCTTAACGATCTAGGCAGGATGATTTGGAGCAATGCTGCATTCGCTCGCAAGTTCAAATGAGACGCTCGTGTATTGGATATGATTGACGTCGATTTGCTTGGCTGTGTTAATGCGAGCTTCACTCCAGGTGGTTGGTCCGGGGAACCAAAATGTTCGGATGTTGGGGACATTAACAAGCTTGAACCAACTCCTGAAGCTCAAAGGCTTCCCCGTCTCTTAGATAGATTAGCTATTAAAGCTTATATTGGTCAATATCAATGTACATAGTAATCATGATGGGGTGAGGCGGGACAAAGCTATGTAAATTGAAGAATTTTGATCAATGTAGTTAGCTTGCAATATTGTTCTCAAACTGGGAAAACTCTTGATGTTGAAGTTTCTGATTATCAATAGATGTCTACATTTTCTACTGCATAGACGTTCCCTTCTTTAGAATTGATTAATTACATCGTGTAAACCAAAGTTGACCAAAATGAGAATGCCTTATTATCCATATACATACATGCATGCATATATACATACACATTAATGCTGCTGCAATTTTCTTGAGAAGAGGCAAGGTAATTTGGTAAACAAGCTAGAATTTGCTTGTTTCATTACATTAAATAATCTAAAGATCTCTGCATTTAATTTGTGGCAGATCTACAGGAAAGGGTTATATCTTAGCAAATTGCAGTTGTAGTGGTAAAGAAATGCACATGTTTAATCACAGAGAAAGATCTCTCCATCAGCTATAAGCTTAACTACATATGCTTCACTAACAATCTCCCTATAAGCATCGAGCTATACAAAAATAGCAGAGAAAACGACTTCGGTTCATATTTCAGAAGGGAATCGGCAGCCTATTATTTGCTGCCATCATCTTGATGTTTGTCCTGATTTGCGGTTCAAAAGTTTAGCTCAACGACGAGAAACAAATAATGAATTGGTTGATATTTGGTTGCCTTCTATCGGAACCTTTTTCATCTTTGCCTTATCCAGGCGTGCTCGTCGAACAACTTCTTGAATTTGACGATCATGATCCTTGAGCATTTGATCCATGTTGCCTGATGGGACTAATAGTGGACCAGAATAGTGAATTTTGTGACCCTTTGAGCCATAACCAAGCTGGAAACACACATCATTAAGAATTATGCATTAGATACTTGAAATGAATACAAGTTACCATAGCAACCAACGAATAACAATACTTGACCAGGAAAAAAAATCAATGACAAGGCTCTTCTTTTATGGAAAATTGACCATGAGAACCAATCATCAAAGCAAAAAGACAGGTTCACTACTTACCAGAACTGGATCTTTGATGTTAATTCTTACTTCTTTCTGCTGCACATTTCGTTTCGGATCCTGTTGGAAAGATTCTGAGGCCTCCTTAAAGGAACCGGGAAATCTTGCAAATACTTTTGGAGCTTCTGGTTGTGAAGAACCAGTTCCCTCTCTGCCATCTTCAGATATAAGATTACTTCTCCTTGCTGCCATTAAACCTGGCATCACTGACAAGTCAGCCCCAGTAGAAAGTTTTGGAGCATCATCGAGGTTTTTACCAGACTTTGCCCATGCAGCTCTGTGAGCCATTGGCCCTGAATGGGAGGCTCTCTTGTGATGATTCCCCTGAGCATCCACATTTGATTCTACAGCTTGTGATGGTCGAGGTGGATCTATAGGAAAGCCTGAGGCAACTACTTCAGGATGAGGATTAAACTTTCACTCCGACTCTTAGAATTGGGTTGGCCTTGTCTTTTCTGGAATGTCGAAGTAATTTTTTTTCAAAGAAAATGTTACAAATGCATAAGGGTGGTGGTGTTCTAAAAAGAGAAAATTTGATAAAAAGAATCACAAATTATGTTAAATCATTTAAATAGAAATCATTGATGCATAGATGAAATGGACAGTGTTAACAAAATCTTAAGTTACCTGCATTGACAAAACTAGTTCAGCATTGGCATCAGGCGCTGGCATGGCACGAGAATCTCTTGTTGCTCTTCTGTCGAGGTCAGGTCTCTGACCTTTGGTTCCTGCTGCTCCTTGTCTGCCAATAGAAAAAAATAGTTTGTTAGCAGTTTTGCACCTATTCCGAGAACTAAAGATTTCAAAGCACTCGATTTCTTTTGGAAGTAACCTCCCACACAAGTGTGACAAAGTTAAAAGAAATTCTCCTTCAGAAGCATCTCGGGATTTTTTTAAAAGATAAATAAATAAAGTTAAATTCTCATTGTAATTATAAAATATTCACCTTCTAGCTTCCTCATCCCTCATTTTTGCATCAAACTCTTTGCTAGGAGGATACTTGGGCAAGCTTGAAGGATCACAGGGAAGCGGATTTCTGATAAAGAACTTAAAAAACAAAGTAAAAACACAAGTCATGGAAATTAGATACTTGGCCAACCTTCATTACCAACATTCACCCTGAAAAGGAGGGGAAGATGCTTGCAGACATGCATTGATTATAGTTGCCTGAAATATAATAAAATACAATTTCTTAAAAACATACCTGATTCTTGAGAGCAGAAGCTGCAGATCCACGATCAGCAGGGTCAATGGAAAGTAAGGTTTCCATGAGTGCTAATGCTGGTGCAGGAAATTCCTTAAAAGTTTCAGAAACACAGCGTCTATAAGGTTGTTGGGGCTTAAAAATTGTAGCATGAGGCAGCTTTGATTTTCTCCAATACTCTTCAGAAGGTGAGCCACAAAGTTTGAAAATTTTATGCAACTGCTCCACCTATAAAGCAAAAGGACATTGACCTTGATCATTCATTTAATTCTAGAGCTCTAACGACAACGTATGACACATCCTATCACTAAAACGATAGTCATGCATATACCAATAGACTAAAGTTTCATTTTAAAACTCTTAGTACTGCGTAGGAAAACTCTCATTGAATAACAAAAGCACACCTCAGTTCTTCCGGGCATAATAGGCTTGCCTACGTATAGCTCGGCAAGTATGCAACCTGTACTCCATAAATCCACGGCAGCACCATAGGAAGTGGCTCCAAGTAGAAGCTCTGGTGGTCTATACCAAAGAGTTACAACACGGCTTGTCAAGGGCTGACTTTGATGAGGATCATAAAAACTTGCCAGACCAAAATCTGCAATCTTCAAGATGCCATTATTGTCAATTAGAAGATTTGAACCTTTTATGTCACGATGTAGGACACCATGGCTGTGACAATGATCAAGACCACGCAAAAGTTGCTGCATGTAGCACTTAACCTGCCCAAAGTTCAATAAATAGAACATAAGAATACCCCATAGATGCCAAATATAAATGTCTGATTTGCAGAATATTCTCAACTTCTTTAGAATGCAATTTAAAGGGGGAAATTCATGGAATCCCAATGTAATTTTTTACTTACAAACAAGTAAATTTTAGAAGATATCAGATTGCAGCTAAGAGGAAAATAAATTGCAGAACAATCTGACATACCTGTGGCTCAGAAAACTTCAGACCCGGGTTTGAAGCAAGACCAGCCAAATCATGTTCCATATACTCAAAAACAAGGTACAAGCTGCAAGACATCCTTGAGGTAACCAGACCCTCCAGCTTTATAACATTTGGATGGTCAAGTCTACGTAGTATGTGAATTTCTCTTGCCATAAATCGAACACTCTCCGGCTCAAGGTTATCAAATCTTACTTTCTTCAGAGCAACAATTTTTTTCTGATCTAAATCATGTGCCCTATAAACATTACTATAAGTCCCCTGGCCAATCTGCATAGAATATATAAGTTCAACTGACAGATACAATTACTAGCCACAAGAAACAGTCAATTTAGAGCATATTGTTTGGTTATAAGATAAGAGACATCACACACACTAAATGACTGTAGTACAGAATCAAGAAAACAGACCGAATTCCAAAAATCCTAACTAAAGTTTCATTATCACAACAACACATCCAGAAGCCACCAATAGAGAGGGCACCTCAGTGGAGGTGAACGAAATATTAATATGCCTTAATGTTGAAAAAGATATATCACTGGACTTAGAGGGAATTTTTCTTCAAGTTGTAAATTGGTACTGTTTTGATCTTATTGAACTTAACCTGATTTAGAGGTAGGTGAAATTCTAATAGGATAGTGACTTATTAGTCAAGAATTGAAAAAAAGATGTTTTACAATCTTTCAAAGATGTCCAAAAGGATTACAACGAAGTGTGAATCCAAATATAATAGCACAAAGTTGAATATTAACAAACAAAGCAGAGACTAAAAGGGAACTACTTAAAATAAACTGATATGTAAAAAAAGGAAATTATCAATGAAATTTGCAACATAAGGACAAATCGTATACATTCTATGTTATTCGGACTCGAGTGTAAGTGTTAGACACAGATATGTATCCGACAGGGGTATGGCTAAATTCTTCAAACTTTTCTATGTATTTGGACTTTGGAGTATCCTTAAAGGTCATATCCCCAAATTCTAGTGTCAGACTCGAGTAGTTAAAGAAAAATGAAGTCTGAGCAACATAGTATACAATGAACAACACCCAAAACTAAGAAATAAGTTAAGAGCATAATTACTTTATCCAGCTTCTCAAATGCGTCTGCAAGCCGCGGCACCCATCCTCTGATTGCTTCTCCTGCCACTGAAGCTAACCAAGCAGGCCAACCTGCTGCCACCTGCTCACCTTCTGTAGCTTTCGGGAGACTACCCATCCCGGGGTGTTGAGTAACAACATACTCCATCTTCTCCCTCTTATCCAAATTCTCACCATGCATCCCAACCGAGCCATTCACTTGTTTATCAATTAACATCGTTCGCACCTCATTGTTATCAGACCGATCCTTTGCTCTATCTTCTGTTGAGGCTTTACTCGAAAACCTCTCCCTAGGACTCTCCTTACTATCTTCAATTGCAGAAGGCTTACAACAAATACAACCCATCATACACCAAAACTACCCTTCAAACAGTACCTCCTTCAGTTCTTCTTACAGTAACTAAATATGCTTCATTTCTTCAAGAAATTTATTTTTTTTGCAACATTATCCCCCTCATCCATTACCGACGTACTCAAAACGCTAAAAAATCTGACTAAAAACAGAACTTCCAATATCC